GCAGCTACCGACGGTTGCTGTGGAGAAGGACAGAGCTGCCCAGCTATTCAAGGTTTTCCAAGCTAAGTCACATGCAGCAGAAGGGGAAGACAGCGTTTCTCCTGCCAGCTTTTGAGCTGTGCTTAGCAGTCTTTATCCTTCCTGCTGCAGGACAAGAGGAGCACTGTGGATGCTTCCCGAGGCTCAGCCTGCCATCGAGGTGGCTCGTGCTGTAGGATGCCTCAAAGCTCTGTGGAGGCCATAATTTCCTATGTTTCTGCTACAAAACAGCGCTGTGATTTTGAGCTTTGGATGGATGAAGCATCAGAGCAAGTGGCAGACTTGGATCCGCTCTCGACGGGGCTGTATTGGAGCAATCAAAGCAGCGTGGACTCCATTCCTGAAGAACACACATGGCAACACCATCCCAGAACTGGAATTTTCCAATCGCCAGCTAAAATTAAGCCACGATGCCAAACCAAAGTGGTGTAACAAAAGAGAAGCAATAAAGGTGCATGAAACAAAGTCAAAATGAGAGAGGAAAATGGGAAAGAGAATGGGCAAATCCAGAGTGAAATGGTCAACACGTGTTTTGAGTCAAAGTAAAAAATGTTTTGCTGAAAGATTCGCCAAAACCAATACAGGTCTATGAAAGAATTCAGTTTTAATAAATCAATGTTTCTCAGCAAAAAGGGGATTTATGTTTTGAAAAATCCAACTACCTCTGTGTACAGAGCTCATCAAGTTCAGCTTTGTTGTGGGTATGAAAGCTAAAAACCTGAATACATTTTATTTAATGCATTTTTGGAGTGCAATTTGTTCTACAGGTGCTGTGGTATAAAAAGGCCCATCCAAAATTAGCTGAAGTCTGTGACAAGATTTCTACAAAATCCAGTGAATTAGGCCTGGAGAGACTGAGAGGCTGAAGTACAGGATTAAGTAAATCCCCTATAGCTCTCTGAAAGAATTAATCATTACATATGTATCTATTAAAAAGATACATTTTAAATTGTTAAAATGATACTTATAATTTTCTTAATGATGAAATGTTTTCATCTCTTACAAATTAGCATAAGTGTTCAGCAACAGCTGTTCTATTTTTTGGTTTTTGGGTTTTTTTGGTTGTTTTTTTTTTTTTAAATTTAAACATGTTAATGTAAGTCCTATATGTTAACAGCTGAAAAACTTTCCCTCTGATGATGGCCTTCAAGGAGCTGCAAGTACTTAATCATGTGTCTAACCTGAAACCTTTTTAGGCCCCATCAGATACATGATTAGGTATCTCTCAGAGGAAAAAAAAAAAAAAAAAAAAAAAAAAAAA